AACACAACATTTCAGTATTAGAATGCGAAGATGAAGAGGTCAAGCAAATGCCAGAAATGGGATTTAGAAAATTAATCATAGGATTATTAAAAAATCAGAAGTAAATCCACAAACTAAAGAAGACTATACAAGACATGAACAAAAAGGCATTCTGGTTGGGCCCACAAAGAGCATTTCAGGCATGGAAAGCCAATACACTGTGGCAACAAGTGTCCTGCATGAAAGACTTCTGTGGGTGAGACCCCAGTGCAAAGAAGTGGCCCTCAAAGAAGGAGGTACTTATCTCTAAAGGGAAGAGAGAACTTCCACTTTGCTTATGGCCTTGTCTAAATACTGACAGAGTTTGTGGATTCAAATTCTTCCATAACCTAGGCAGCTCATGTCAAGAGCCTTGGGTGGTCACTGACATTTTACAAAAAAGTGTTAATTGTGACATTAACAGCAGGAGTTACTGGGCACTAACTTCCCATGTAGGACCTCTGTCCTCAAAGAGTTGTATTATGAGAATTAACAATAAAACTTGTTCTCAAAGATTTACTTCATTTTAGTGCATTAAGTGGAGGATATTTTTTTAATTTTTAATTTTTAAAATTTTTTTATTTAATAAATGTGAATTTACAAAGTGCAACTTTTGTATTGTTGTGGCTTTCCCCCCTCCAACCGCCCTCCCTCCCATGGCCCTCCCCTCTCCCACTCCCTCTCCTATCCCGCTCTTCATCGAGTTTCATTTTCAATTACCTTCATATACAGCAGATCAACTTGGTATATACTAAGCAAGGATTTCAACAGGCTGCACTCACACAACCGCACAAGGTATAGGGTATTGTTCGACTGGTAGTGTTGTCTTTAAGTTTCATAGTAAAACACATTAAGGACAGAGATCCTACATGGGGAGCATGTACCCAGAGACTCCCGTTGTTGATTTAACAATTGGCACTCTTATTCATGACATCAGCAATCACCCGAGACTCTTGCTATGAGCTGTCTAGGCTATGGAAGCCCCTTGAGTTCACCAACTCTGAACTTGTTTAGTCAAGGCTGTATCACAGTGGAGGTTCCTTCCTCTCTTCGGAGAAAGGTGCCTAAGTGGAGGATATTCTTATGTCTCAAGTTTTAGATAAGCCTAAGTGCTCAACTCCATTGCTTGTTTCCTTAGGTGCGTCTTTAATTAATGATAAAGCTTGTTCTCAAAGAAAAAAGTATATTTTTTGCAAAAGTTAAAAGAGAAATAAGAAAGGAAGAAGGAGGAAGGGTGAGAATGCGAGAGAGAGGGGATGGGTGGGAAGCATCATTATTTTGTTAAAACTGTATGTATAAAATATATGAAAGTTGTTCCATTTGTATAAATAAAAAATTTAATAAAAAGGCACAAAAGGCAGAACATTTGGTGTCATGTACTAAGATATGGTCAAATCACTTGGTAAGAAATGTATTTCAATTTTATGTCGCTCCCCCTCTTTGTGGAAGAACGACACAGGACCCTGCGCTGTTCTTTCGTCTGCTCGGCCCTCCCCGGGTTTGCTGCTGGTTCTTCCCGGGTTGGCTACTGTCCCTTCCACCTCCGTGGAAGGGCAGTTCCCCCTGGCCGCATTCCCCACTTCCGCAGGGGAGCGGCACACCGCCGGCCGGTTCTCTCGGGGGCTGCACGGGTTCCCTTCAGCTAGATGTTCCCCATAGATGTTCCCGGTGCATGCCGTCTCTCTCCTCCTTTATAGTCCTCCTCCGCCAATCCTAACTCGGCTGCCCACACGCCGAGTACGCTGCTCTCCTCCAATCAGGAGCAAGTCCTACAGTTTATTAGTTGAACTGGAGGCAGCTGTGCGGAAGCTGTTTACTTCTCTCCCAGCGCCATATTGTGGGAGAGCAGATGCATAGAATAAGTCCTAATTCCAGTAACTCAGTCTAGTCCGGTTTGCTCCCCACAATTTTATTTACTTATCTATTTATATTAAGAATACCAACTACTACTAAAATAAGCTCCCTGAGTGGGAACTGAGAATGGAGGTGGAGGAGAGGTGGGAATGTGGGTGCGAGGGTGGGTATGGTGGGAAGAATCACTGTATTCCTAATGTTGTACTTATGAAATGCATTGTTTATATTCCTTAAATAAAAGGTTTCCTTGGGAAAAAAATAAATAAAATAATGATCAAATAAAATAAAACACCCTCTGCTCCAAAACCTCCAGCAAACTGATATTCTATAGTACTATTTAAATAATCATAGGAAAGATGACTTAATGGTTTTTGTGTTAATATCTTTTAATTTCTCTCATTTGCCTTTTGATCTTAACTGGGGATAGAGGAATCTGTGTCTTATTTTTTGGCACATCATCAGTTTGTAAATCATAATTTCAATAAATATATTGAAAATTATCTGAGTGAAGAGTTGATAGAAGTGCTGAAGAATGAGATTATGAGGGTTTATACATTTGACACACTAGCTTAAATTGCTGCTTAAGACGCCTTCATCCCTTGTTGAAGGGCCTGGTTTGAGTCCTGGCTCTGCTTCTGATCTATATCATTACTCAGGCACACCCTGAGAGGCACTAGGACAGCTCAAGTACTTGGGTCCCTGCTACCCTTATGGGAGACCCAGATGGTGGCTCCTGGCTCCGGCTTTGGCCTGATCCAGCCTTGCCTGTTGGGAGCCTTTGGGGAATGAACGCAGTGATGGAAGTTGTCTCTCTCTCTGTCTCTTCCTTTCTGTCTCTCTGTCTTTCAAAGGAAAGGAAGGCAGGCAGGCAGGAAGGAGGGCAGGAAGAAGAGCTGTTCACTTTGTGTGATGATGCATACATGTGTGTTCACTAACTGTAAAGGTAGCAAATGCTCTGCTCTGGTGGGGGATGGCAGTAGGGAGGGATTATGCATGTGTAAAAGAAGAGGACACACGGGAAATCTGTACTTTCTGCTCATTTTTGCTTTCACCACTCTAAATATTAAAGGCTATTAAAAGAAGGTATCTCTTATCATTGGCAGTGCTGAGGGTGGAACTCAGAAGTTTCAGAGCCTCAGGGTAAGGCCTATCTTCATTTAATACCTGCTGTAACCACTGTAATGATTTCTCAGATATCCCACAATAAGTCAGGTATCTCACAATAACACGGTGAGAATGCACACACCCAGAGTTAGTGGAGAGAACATTTACTTGGTCAAATGTGTCAATCATATGTGTTTACATAAATATGAGGTAAATCAGAGTCCTTCATTGACCTAATAACCTTAATGGTAGTGTGGTCAGCTAAAGAAATAGAGAATAACTCAGCCAATTTTAACACTTCATTCTTTTGTTTTTCTTATGTTTGCAGGGTTGGCATTGTGTAGCAGTGGGTTAAGTTGCTGCCTGAGATGCCTATATTCCATGTGGGTGTCAGTTCTAGTCCCGGCTGCTCTACTTCTAAAGCTGTTTCCTGCTAATGTGCCTGGGAAAGCAGCTGAAGATAGTCCAAGTACTTAGGTCCCTACCACACACATGGGAGACCTGGATGGAGTTCTTGGTTCCTGGTTTGGCCTGGCTTAACCTCCACTACTCTGGCCATTTGCAGAGTGAACCAATGGATGGAAGATCTCTGTCTCTCTCTGTCTCTCCCTTCATATGTAACTCTACCTTTCCAATACATAAAATAAGTTTTTTTTTTTTTTTTTGACAGGCAGAGTGGACAGTGAGAGAGAGAGACAGAGAGAAAGGTCTTCCTTTGCCGTTGGTTCACCCTCCAATGGCCGCCGCGGCCGGCGCGCTGCGGCCGGCGCACCGCGCTGATCCGATGGCAGGAGCCAGGAGCCAGGTGCTTTTCCTGGTCTCCCATGGGGTGCAGGGCCCAAGCACCTGGGCCATCCTCCACTGCACTCCCTGGCCACAGCAGAGAGCTGGCCTGGAAGAGGGGCGACTGGGACAGAATCCGGCGCCCCGACCGGGACTAGAACCTGGTGTGCCGGCGCCGCAAGGTGGAGGATTAGCCTAGTGAGCCGCGGCGCCGGCCAAAATAAGTTTTTTAAAAATATTATTTTTGCATTGCTAATTTGATGGTTAATGTGAGATAACGCATGGCTAGCTGAAGAAGGTCCTCAATCTCTAGATGCAATCCCATATAAAATGAATTGTTCCAGTGTATAAAAGGAATCTAATAATGGAATATTTTTTTTAACAGTAAAAATTATTTTTAATACACACACAGACAAAAAAATTGTATCCAGAATATATAAAGGGCATCTACCTATAAATCACAGGAAAAAAAAGCAGAAATCCACATAGACATAAATATGAATAGGAAAATGGCACAAAAAGAAAACCAAGCTGCTGATGAAAATATGAAAAGTCACTCAACCTCACTGGTATTAAAGATACGTATTTTTTTTTAACTTTTATTTAATGAATATAAATTTCCAAAGTACGATTTATGGATTACAATGGCTTCCCCCCCTAAAAATGGAATATTAAAAATATAATTTTGTATCACTTCTTGGCCTTTTGGCTAAGATCAAGTATAAAAATATATTTTTGTAAATTGTGTCTATCAGATGTTTTTTAGCTGTTAAGGAAAGGAAAACAATCTTATGGATTATTTTTTCTTTAAACTTTTATTAGAGAGAAAAAGAGAGAAAACACTTCCACCTGCTTATTTATTTCCCAAAGGCCAGCAACAGCTGGGGCTGGGTCAGGAAAATACAGGGCTTCAGAACTAAATTGAGTATTCCATGTGTGTGGCAGGGACCCAATTACTTCAACTGTCGCTACTACCTCCCAGGGTCTGTATTAGCAAGAAGCTGAAATCAAGATTCAGGGGTGAATTTTGAACTTAGGTGCCCTGATGTGGGATGTTGGCTTCCTAATCAGCAGCTTAACGGCTAGACCAAGTGCCCACTCCTCTTCTGGATTCTTGTGCATACCTGGAAGTGAAGATGTCTCCTGTAGTAAGTTGATCTTGTGCTCTGTTAAGCATATATCTTATCCTTAAAAAAATTAATTGCATTCTGTAAAACTTGTTTTTTTTTTTTTTCCCTAAGAATCTAATAACTTGGCCCAGGAGTATCAATCAATGAAGCTCAAGAAAAACCAATGGAAAGTGGGCACTCAACTGCTCAAAGGAGGGTTTCCAAGAATGAAATCAGTGTAACAAGAGGTGAATTGCATCCTTCATCAAACACATGTAGAACAGATCATAAAGGCATCAACTCCCAATTCTGAAATGGGTGGTCTTTGTACTGCATGTCTAGTTCCCAGTCTAACAAAGGTTAATGCATTTTTGTACCTTAAAATGCCAAAATAATAAATCCTACGTGGGTAAACTATGTGGAAGTTTGAAAAACTGTAACAGATACTCAGTTGAAAGAGTAAAATCATTTTTACAAGTATTTATTTGGAGGCCAGCATTGTGGTGCAATGGGTTAAGTTGTCACCTTTAATGCTAGCATCACATTTGATGCACCATTTCTAGTCCTAACTGTTCCACTTTTGATCCAGATTGCTGCTAATGTGCCTGGGAAGGTGGCAGAAGATGGCCCAGGTACTTAGGAACCTGCACCCATGTAGGAGAACTGGTTGGAGTTCCTGGCTCTGGCTTTGGCCTGGTCCGGGCCTGGCCATTGTGGGCATTTCTGGAGTGAACCAGAGGATGGATTTTCTCTCTCTTGCTCTCTCTTCTCATCTGCTCTCTCATTTTCCTTGTAGCTCTACCTTTCAAATAAGTAAATAAATCTTTTTAAAAAAAGACTTTGTTTGAGAAGCAGAGAGATGATCAGAAAAACAGAGAGCAAGTGAGCTCCCATCTGCTACTTCATTCCCCATATGCCAACAGTGGCAAGGCTGGAGCCAAGATCCGGGAACTCCATCCAGGTCTCTCATGTGGGTGGCTTGGACACAACTACTTGAGCCATCACTGCTGCCTGCCAGAGTGTACATCAGCAGAAAGCTGGAATCAGTAGCTGGAACCAGGAATTGAACCAAGGTACTCCAGTGTGGGGAGCAACTGGGAGTAACTCGGACTGGACTAAGTTACTGGAATTAAGACTTATTCTGTGCATCTGCTCTCCCACAATATGGCGCTGGGAGAGGAGGAAACAGCTTCTACACAGCTGCCTCCAGTTCAACCAATAAACAGCAGGACCTGCTCCTGATTGGAGGAGAGCAGCGTGCTCGGCGTGTGGGTAGCAGAGTTGGGATTGGTGGAAGAGGACTATAAAGGAGGAGAGAGACAACATGCACGGGGAACATCTATCTGAAGGAACACCTGTGCAGCCCCCGAGAGAGCCAGCCGGCGGTGTGCCGCTCCCCCACGGAAGTGGGGAAAGTGGCAGGGGGAACCGCCCTTCCACGGAGGTGGAAGGGACGGTAGCCAACCCGGGAAGAACCAGCAGCAAACCCGGGGAGGGCCGAGCAGACCAAAGAACAGCGCAGGGTCCTGTGTCATTCCTCCACGAAGACGGGGAGCGACACTCCAGTATGGGAGGTGGGCCCCATAACCACTAGGCTAAATGCCTGTCCTTTTTTTTTTTTTAACTTTTATTTAATGAATATAAATTTCCAAAGTGCGATTTATGGATTACAATGGCTTCCCCCCCATACCGTCCCTCCCACCCACAACCCTCCCCTTTTCCACTCCCTCTCCCCTTCCATTCACATCAAGATTCATTTTCGATTATCTTAATATACAGAAGATCAGCTTAGTATACATTAAGTAAGGATTTCAACAGTTTGCTCCCACACAGAAACATAAAGTGAAAAATAATAGATGATTTTTTAAATGATGATGAAATCAGATCAGACCTATTGTCATGTTTAATCCCAGTAAGAAAAGAAATGCCTGCCCTTTTTAAAAAATTGATTTATTCATTTGAGAAGCAGAGAGACAGAGGTAAAGTCATTTTAATTAAATTTGTAGAGTTTTCCTCTTTAAACTAATAGTTCTTATGGGTCAGGAATAAAATGTCTAGTGTCTTGTACTTTGTCTCATAAGTCAGCATGGCCTGGTTTGAGGAAGCAATGATGTATTATTAAACAAGCAATTCTGATTGGAATATATTTTCTTTTAACAGCTTTAAATCACCTAGTATTTCTTTTTAGCTGTTCATTTCTTGGAAAAACTTATTTTAGGAGCTATTTTGAAAATTTAGTATCTGGTAGCTTTTGGATCTGCAGGAGAGAAGGCCCACACTTCCAGGAATGGAGAGTCCCTACCCGCACTTCCGGGAACCAAAAGTCCTTGTCAAGGTCCCTGTGGGTGCCTAAAGGTCAACCAATGAGGATCAGACCTGCCTTAACCTTTAACCCCCACACCCTGTGTCTATGAGCCCTCCCAACCTCTGACACGTGACTCCCCCGGTCCCTGCTCTGTTGGGACTGGTGAACCTTGCCCGGGAGCGGAATCCCAATAAAAGCTTGTGAATTATTGATTCATCTGACTGGGAAGATTTGTTACATGTTGGATACCTTGCAGTATCTTTTTGTTTTTCATTTAAAGTTTACCCTAATTTTTTTAAGTCTTATCAGAGTGATAGTGATCTTTGTGTCTGTAGTCATGTACTACTTTTAAATAAGATTTATTTATTTGTTATTTGAAAGGCAGAGTCACAGAGAGGCAGAGGAAAGAGAGAGAGATAGAGAGAGAGTTCTTCCATCTGCTGGTTCATTTCTGCAGATGGCTGCAATGGTCAGAGCTGGGCTGATCCAAAGCCAGGAGCCAGGAGCTTCTTCTGGGTCTCCCACGTGGGTTCAGGGGCCCAAGGACTTGAGCCATCTTCTACTGCTTTCCCAGGCCTTAGCAGAGAGCTGGATCAGAAGTGGAGCAGCTGGGACCTGAAGTGGAACTCATATGGGATGCCAACAACTGTAGACAGAGCTTTACCTACTACACCACAGTGATGGCCCAGCCCATAAATTTTTAAAAATTTTATTTATTTTCATTTTATTTGAAAGGGAAGGAGAGAGAGAGAGAGAGATTCCACCTGCTTGTTCATTCCCTAAATGCCTGGGACAGCCAGATCTGGACCAGGTTGAAGTAGGTTGGTGGCAGGGACTCAAGTGCCTCATCCATCATTTGCTGCTTCCCAAGGTGCACATTAGCAGGAAGCTGTATTGGAAGTGGAGGAGCAGGAATGAAAGTCAGGCACTACATACAGGGTGTGAGTATCTCAAGTCGCCACTTATACCACAGTATCAAGGCCTGCTTCCCCTTAAGTTGTAGTTCGCAGTATTATTAACGTTAAACTTACCTAGTCACAAAGTAAAATGCATTTGTAATTTTGCTTTCTTTAATTAAATTGACTTTTATTATTTTCCTTAATTAAAAAACTAGAATTTGCTTTCAGGAACGAGTTATAAAAGGCTATAGAGCTTAATTTTGCTTCTCTTCTTTATTGACAGTAAGTTCTCTGTTGATAGGTGTGCTTGTTAATGCTGAAATGGTCTCCATGCCTTTTAAGGAAATAGGCACATCAGTGAGATGCTGCCTTTTGATGTCAGTATTTCATAACTCAATATTTTTGCTAATTACATTTATTTCAACAATCATATATTGAAAAGTTCCTTGGTTCCACAATTAAATAGGGGTAATGTCTTCTAGTGTTCCATAGCATAGTGGGGCAACTGTAGTTAATGATAACATATTATATATTGTAGAAAAAAACTGTAAGAAAAGAACTGGTAGACTCCAAACACAATGAAAAGATAAGGAAATGGAAAACTTAATTGCCTGGATTGATTCATTTGCATTGCATGTATGTGTTGAAATATTGAACTGAATCCCAAAAAATGTACAAACATTACTGGTTAGTGAAAAAATTTTAAAAGTTAGAAAAAGAAGAGAATGTTTACTTGGTTGCAGGTGCTTAGCTAGGATTGAGTAATATGAAGACAAGGGAGGATGATTCCTGACCTTGAGAAGTTCAGATACTTGGATAGAGTTTGAACCTCCTAGTTTCAGTTGCTTTTTGGAAATAAAAATGGAATGTCAATCATTCTGAGGACATATAAATGATAGATTTAAGATAAGAAATGGGTGATTTAATCATAATAGAAAGCTATATAGAGATGTGATTTGTTTTAAATATCTATCATTGTATTGAACTTTCACATGAATTTTCTATCTCTCCATATTACTGATGTTTTACAAAAGGCATGCATTGGCCAAAAGATCACTTAATCCCAAATGCATTACAAAGACTTATTGATTTGGATATAACTTGGAATGTCTGAAAATCTAGTTCTCTTTTCTTTACCTAAAGATCCTTTCTATTTTACAGTACTTTGCAGTAAGAATAGTGTTAAAAATAGAAATGGTATTCAAATCTCTTGAATTGGGCAGTGGTGAATTTTCATCCAAAGTTAAGTTACAAAGAAAGTGGTCAGTGATCAAGGATAGATATTGATCTCACATTCCTCAACCTTTATGAATTTATTATCTCCCAAAACTGTTCAGGATTTAAACCCTACACAGTATTGCCTTAGAACTTTGAAGAATATAAAAATAGAGTACCTGAAAGAAGGAAACAGCCAACCTTAATCATTACATTTAAAGGGAAATAAAAGTAATAAAATTGAATTGGTGTAAATCTTCAAGGAGACATATTATATAAATAGGGAATTCTTGTATTACTTCATTGCAAAACAAGGAAATTTTAATGTTGCTCTCATGCAAAATAAAAAGGAGACAAAGGAAATGTTAAATCAAAATAAGGTACCTGAGAAAGCATGTGAGTATAAAAGACCTCTCTACCTATCCAGTGATGAGTTTTCCTCACATCTTCAACTCCGCATTCGGCAGCACCATCTCCTTTTTCTTTCTGCTCCCTTGCTTTTTTTTCAATATTTTACTCATTTTTATCCCACCTGTTTGAAAATGTCATATTGCATCCACTTTTTCCTGGGGGCACTCCTCTGACCTCTGACTGTTCTGATAGGAACTAGACAAGTGATTGCCCATAGACTTTACTGGAAAGGGTCTTTTTTAATGGGGTGTTTGCGTAGTAGCTTGGAGAAAGGCAGATAGATGCCTGGCATGTTGGAGGAAAATCTGTGCCTGTGATGCAGGTCGGCTTCCTTGCCTCTGAGAGTCTGTGCTTTCCTGAGTTTCCCAGGCGTCTTCTTTAAGAGAGACTCCTGGAAAGCCAGCTCTCTGCATTTTGTAATTGGAGAACTCTTGGGAAACTCATGTTTGTCTCCCTGGTGGGAAGTCAGTAGCTGTAGAACTGAAAGCTCCATTTCTGACTTTGAGTTTTGATACTCTGTAGTCTGGTCTGCCAGTGAGGACTTTACTCCAAATCATTTATTGCATTTCTTGCACTGATCTTCCAAGAGGTCATCCCCTAACCTCCAGGCATGTGCCTAATTTGCCCTAAGGATCGTAGTTTTCTTACAACTATAGCCTAGCTCTGAAGCTCCTGATCTTGGTCATACTTGCATTGCTTGGTAAGGCTGTCTTTCTTTCTTTTTTTTTTTTTTAACTTTTATTTAATGAATATAAATTTCCAAAGTACAGCTTATGGATTACAATGGCTTCCCCCCCCCATAACTTCCCTCCCACCCGCAACCCTCCCATTTCCCTCTCCCTCCCCCCTTCCATTCACATCAGGATTCATTTTCAATTCTCTTTATATACAGAAGATCAGTT